TGCCGACAGCTTCTTACGGCGACCCCCAAACAACCTCTCTTCTTTTTTGTGCCGACACCTTCCTAGTTATCTATAATTATATAAATGTTTTTTTGACTATTTAGGGTTCAATTTTTGCTTTACTGACATCAAATTTCTTGTCGTCAGTATTTGTCCCTTCCTAGGGCTATATTCGAGGATAAGTAGTGCTCCGATTGTATCCTGTTCCAATGTGGTGACTATCTCCCCGCATCCTAGCAACTACTACTCATTTGCCATTGTTGCATAGCCTCCACCTAACCTTCCTGTTTTCTCTACCACCACCCTTCTACCGACCAAAATCTACTGTCACTCCTCCACCTTACAATCTACAGCCGCCAACTCATCCCCTCACTCTCTACTAGCCGCAACCCCTTCAACCTTCTCACTCACTACCTTAACTTCTTTCCCATGATCCAACTTGCTGACGTAAGACCCATCTCCAGTCCTATTCCTGCCATCATCCTCTACCTACCTTACCGTTGTCGTTTCAATCCCAACCCGCACCCCTCCTACCATCCAATCGCCAGCCACCCCCTTCGTCCTCAGACTAGCGCGTTGTGCGTGTTGTTGTCATTGTTATTTATGATTTGAGAGCCCTGTTATTGTAGTGTTCTCGTATCTTGCAATAATATTTTGAGTTTTCTGCATTTTAGATTAAACCCGGTATCACAAGAAGCCTCCGGATCAAAATAAACAAAAGAAATCAAACGCTATATATTCAAAGATATACAGATTGCTTCCCTTCTCCTTCCAGTTGAAGCCGAACTTCTCTGGTTGGGGGGATTTGCTTAAAATAGTTCAATTAGTTTGAAAAGGTTAAAAATCAAAAGTTTCACTTTGATACTTTCATAATTGAAGAGTTCCCTATTACAGAGAGACGGAGAACATAGACAGAAATAAGGGAATCAAAAGTGAGAAAGGGAGAGAGTGACAGGCAGAGATGCCACAAAATGGCTATATCTATTTCTGCAACTTTTTAGAATATAGAAATAGTATACAATAAATGCATGAAAAATGAAAAAAATTGTAGGATAGACCTGTATGCTTTCACAGCAAGAGAAGTTTTGGATTAACTCAAATCATTTCAAATAATGGACATAAGTGATTCTACATGCAAACTTGGGCAGTTGCCCTTTTGTTTATTATAAAAAATAAGATTTTAAATTTCATTTTTTTTCAAAATGAAAGATGCAAAACAGGAAGTAGATCATGAGATGTTAAATAGAATTAAAAATGGCAATTATTGCTGGAAGAGGTTAAAAGGAACAGGAGCTAGTATATTATATGGGTGTAAGAGCACAAAAAAAAAGCATGCCCCAAAGGTACTTGGAAAAGATTACCTGGGATATACACAACGAAAGACTTTCCTCATTCATTACATCAAGCTGGACTGCTCTTGCATTTCTTATGCCTTCAATTATCTACACAAGTAGAAAAGTTATAGAAGAGTTGAGCAACAAATATAATAAAAAAGGTGCAAAGCTAATTTGTTTTAAATCTACAGGTTGTAAGATAGCAATGCTGGATTCTAGTCTTGTCAAATCAGTTCACAAGAATTCAGCCATCTGCCAAGCCTGGCGCTAGCAGATAAACAAACTGGGATTTTGAGCCCAAAGGTTTGGTCATTACTAGGTTAGCCAGATGCACAATTTAAATTTTCAAATCGAAACAGGTCATATGGACTTGGCCTTGTCCCAACCAAAACTGTTCATGTTCAATCATTTACAAGGTCCAAAATCCGATAGACATCATTGCAATCCCGTGAAGACTCATTAAAAACAAAGTCATACCTACTTTGTTGACAATATTTATCAATACAACATTTAATGTCAATGGATCATTAAATTATATAAAAATAGACATCACTTCCAATCCTGTGCCTAATTTATAGCCGCTTTCATTTCAAAGAAAATTGCAAGAAAGACAGTAAAAATAAAGAAAAACCAATGACACAACAAATAATCATAATGAAAACATTTACAGCTTTTTGAGTAATGTACAGATTCTTGAAAACTGCTTACAAAATAATAACTTTAAATCATATTTCAAACAATTTAGACAGCTTTTCAACAGTTAGCAAAAAAGAAGTAAAAAAAAAGAGTGAATAGAGAAAGAAGCAAGAGTGACAAAAAAGTAGAGAAGTCAATACATGCAAAATGGTTGTTTATTAGTCAAAATTTTATGTTCTAGTTTCGTTTGATTAAATTTTATCATGCTAGTCAGTATGAATGTATCCCACAATAAGGAGAGAAAAATAAACAAACACAACACACAATGGGGTGTTATTCAGACAAGAGTAAACAACAATGCATTCCTGATGTTTTTTCCTGTTTGAGAACAAAATACAAAGCTCACTATTACATCTTGCTGCATATTTCGATACAAAGTGCTGAATTCACATTCAAAAACATTCTGCATCCAATTGTCCACACTCTGTTAGCCTGAACTATGGACCAAAAAATTCTGTACTTCTAATATCTTATAATGCAGCATAAATTTGAACTCGCCATCACGTAATTGTCAAAATGCCGTTAAGTCCTGATCTGACTTGAAAGGTTGAATTTTTATGTCGATAAAATATAATTTTCCACTTCATAGAACTGGTTATAAGAAGGTCCCCTAAGTATGAAGTAATTTGATGAGTAAAAGTAGAAGCTCTTACTTCGGATATTGCGCAAACCTCCTTTATAAATGAGTTGTTTAACTGTTTTCATCAAACCTAACACAAATTAAAAACTCTTATGCAAAACAAGAAGAAGTAAATCCAACATCATAACTGCATCAACCATTTACGGTGTTCATAGAAAGCAGGAAACTTGTTTGTGACCATTGCACAATGTATTGGCTTAAAACAAGAAAAAAATGTGCAAGTGTATGGTCTTTCCTAAGAAGGATTTCCAAAGTTTCAAGTAAGTCAATAATAACTGCTCACAGCAAAATACATTTAAAGGATCTCAATCAATGTTATGAGTCGAAAATTTATACAGCATAAACATTTTCATACCTCTTCCGCATCTTTTAGGTACAGAGATGCTACAACAACTTCAAACTCTTTAACTTCTTGAGCATCAGCACCCTCAAATATTTTGAAGGAATTGGAATCTAGACTGCCAACTGATGCCAAAAGTTCAGCTGCTGGTTGGCAAACACGACCTGCACCCAAAATGAGGACTGCTGGTCTTCTAATAGAACCATTTCTCTCACTCACTATGCTTTCACTAAATTTGCTAACTTTTAAAGAAAGTTCTTTATCTTTATCGAAACCTCCATCTTTATGACTTGGATTTGCAAGCAATGTGAGAGCAGCACAAATTTGATCTAAGTTTGTTATATCATCAGCACTGATCTGTTCAAACCAAAAAAAAAAAAAATTAAAATATTTTATTATCTTACATAACTGACTCTCACATTAAAGTAAATTTACTTGTGGCAAATAAAGAAGGCAAGATTTAGGAAGGAAAGAAGAAGATTTCAGAAAAAATTTCATACTTCCAGCAGTGCACAACTGCTAGGCAACAGGCTGCAACCATGATCATTAGAAAAGCTTACATCAAAGAAACGAGGTGGAGAAACCAGTTAGCATGTTTTCTGGAAAAACATCAACAAGAGTGAGGAGGCAGAAAAAATGAAAGCTCCGCGAAGCTATACATTGCAAGAATAAATTCTGCCAACAGTATTAGATAATTGCTAATACCAGAGCAAAGTTGGATCAAGTAATAAATTTAAATGCAATACACATTTTCTGCTTTTTAGTTACAAATAAAATTGTGTACATATAATTCTTACGAAATATAGAATCTTGCTGAAAAGTATAATTGCTAATATATCTCACTCACTCTATTAGGCTTCTAAAGATGGGTTACAAGTAGAATGTGCAGCAAGATTGCATCTAACATGTTCCAAAGAAACAAAAATTCATGTTTCATCATCTTGAAGAGTTCAAAATTATAGAAATTTTCATTCAAATTTCTATGAATATTGCATCATCTACAAATTTTACTTCTCTTGGACCCTTTATTCCTGAAAACCAACGTTTTAGAAAGTAAATTTGGGAACTAAAGCATTTTATCTAGTTTAGGCAAGGCATAAGCCTCAATGTGGGTGAGACAAGAGTCTTGAACCAAAAAATTAAAAAAAAAAATCATAAAATTGAAAATGATTCATAAATATACTACAAACTATTGAAAAAGATGTGAAGAAGAAAATTTAAAAATCTGAATAGTAGAGAAAAATAAAACCAAAACAGTTGAAATAGTTAAAATGACAAATAAAAACATTTGAAAATAAAAATGAAAGAAAAGAAAAAATTTTTAAATTAAATTAATTAAAATAAAAATTATTACAAAGGAAATAAAATAGAAGTTGAAACAAAGTCAAGGGAAAAAAGATATTCAAAGAAAATGAATAATTCAGTTCAAAACATAAATAGAAACAACAATTGGTTAAAAATTTGAAAACAAAGCTAGCATGTATTCAAAGACTTACAATCCTTCATCTCCATACCACTGTGAACTCTAAACCTACAAACATAAACCCTTTAGCATATAACTAAAATGTGTAATTTTTTAATAAATGTTAATTTGTAGCATTTGCCTAATCTGCCTCTGTATGTATCTGTATCTATATATATCAATTTATATATGTTTATTAGTGTAGAAAAATAAGCATTTTAAGATACAAATTTTAGAACATATCTATTTATTTTAATTAATATTTTAAACTTTTTATTTATTTTATGGTTAATAATCCTTTTGGGACAATTAAAAGATAATTCTAAGCATTTTTAAAGAGTTAACGTAATGCAATGAACAATGGTTTCTTTTATGCTTCGGTATAAAAATGAAACAACGCTATACAAAATAGAGCATTCATATCATATATGCAAAATATAATGTGCATAAAATAGTAATGGAATTAAAAAAGTAAACTATATTAAATAATAACTATCATCAGATATAATAATATGTTCAATAAAAATAACTTCAGTTATTTGAAAGAAAAATAAAATCAAAGTAATAAATAATGAAATAGTTAAAAAATATTTAAAAATTCAGAATACTTGTACGATTGGGTGATCAGTTAGAAATCGAGAGACAAAGGCTACATTAAATAAGAGAAAATGAATATGATGTATGAAGAAGTTTGGTAAGTGGCTTGAGCGAGAAGCAACTAGTGTCAACATATAGGAAAATGAGAAGTGAAAAATAAATGTAGAGATAGAGAGAGCGTAAAAAAATAAACGCTTACAAGCAAAAAGCACTACGAAGAGATAATGTAACGCCAATGAGAAACAACTTATTGATCACAAGAAATAAGAAGTTTTTTGAGCCTATATATTGCAACCAATCTTGAATAGAAAATGAACCAACATTTAGTATTGAGCTAAAACCAGCGCCAAGAACACAACGCTATGATAGAACTCCATGAAGAAATATAACACAAGCTTTGTTGTGACAATGCATTTCACAGGCAACCAATGTAGATGTCCAGTTACATTTTAATTTGAATAATTCATCCAATCTTTAGGTTTAATGTAATGTCATTTGGGGTAAAGAATGCTGGGGCGACATATCAGCGCCTCATGGATGTAATATTTCTAAATCAAGAGAAAAAAATGTTGAATTCTCTGTGGATGATGTCCTTGTGAAAAGTAATTCAGCTGAACAACACATAAAAGACCTAAAGGAAACCATCAAAATTCTTTAAAAATTTGATACGAGATTAAATCTTTAAATATGCATCTTTGAGGCATCAACTGACAAATTCTTCTTGTTGACCCTCGAAGGATTGAAACCCAATCTGAAAAAGGTACAGACGATCCCAGACAAGCCGTCCCCTCAAAGCACAAAAAAAATACAACGTTTGACCGACCGCATTGCAGGATTCTGACTTTTTATTCCAAAATTGGGTGATAAATGCGCAGCGTTCTTCAGGCACTTAGGAAAAACCAGCGCTTCAAGAGGACTTCCAAATGCGAGGGAGCATTCAAAAGTTTGAAGGATTCCTTAGCATCGCCCCACTGCTCCAAAGTATGAAACAGGCGGAGGAACCATTGTTGTACCTCGGAGTCCAACTGGAAGTTGTAAGCTTGGTCCTGGTCAGAGAAGAGGCAAAGAAATAACTCTAGTTCTATTACAGGAGCCGAGTACTCCATGGCACCGAAGCAAGATATCTGATTATGGAGAAACTAACGTTCACTTTGATTATTTTCGCTTGCAAGATACAACTATATTTTTAGATGCATCTGATCCGGATCATCATGGACCATCCGATAAAGTCTGTGCTCACGCAATCGGAGCACTCAAGTCGACTACTAAAGTGGGAAGGGGAACTCAGTTAATATGACATCACTTATATCCCCCAGACAATAATCAACGCCCAGAAGATTGTTGACTTCTTGGTGGATTTTTCCACGGCAGGAGAACCAAATGAAGAGTATTTTCCCAACGATAGGACGAGGGTCTTATACATCGACGGAGCCTCCAAACAGAAGACCATAAGTTTGGGGCTGGTTTTGAGCAGCCCAACTGGATAGAGTTTGAAGCCACAAATAACCAAGAGGAGTACAAGGCATTAATAGTCGGGCTTCGTCCAACCAATAAAATAAGTGCTCGGGAGATACTGGTGAAGTCAAACTCTTTGTTTGTCGTGAACCAGGTAAACGAAGAATTCGAGACAAAGGAAGAACTGATGATAGAATATCTCGCTAAGGCAAAGAAAGAGATCAGAAGTTTCTGAAACTTTCGTAATGAGCATGTAGGACAATTAAAGAATCACTTCGCTGATATCCTATCTAAACACATCAATTTGGGCAGGAGCCTGCAGAGGCTTAACCGACTGGCAATCGAGTAACCGGAAGAGATAGTTCACTCGAGGCAACAACATATGGATCCATACAACCTCTATCTAAAAACCGAAAAAGTGACAGAAGAGATCCAAGGCGTTTTAAAATCAAGGATGCGCTATACTTGGTGATTGAAAGCAAGCTCTTTAGGCAATCAGTTACTTTAGTATACTTGAGATGCTTACGGGAACATGAAGTGCAAGATGTGCACTCCAGAGAGTGCGGCAGTCACTCTAGAGAGTTCAACGGCAATGGTAATTCTGGTCCACCCTTCTTAAAGATGCGGAGGAATATTTGAGGAGATGTGAGCAATGTCAAAAATACACCCCCTACATCATCAGCAGGCTCGGAAACTCCAGCCAATCGCGAGCCTCTAACCTTTCACCATCTGGGGTTTAGACATCCTCGATCATTTTCCTCCATCAAAATGTCAACGAAAATTCTTGTTGGTGGTAGTCGATTATTTTTCAAAATGGATAAAAAAAAAATGGTTCTCCCTAATCGATGTAAGGGTAATAAAAAATCATATTTGGACGAATCTTATCTGCAGATATGGGTTGCTACAAATGATTATCACCGACAATGAAACAAGATTCTCGGACCGAGGGAAGGATTTCTATGTCAAATAAGGGATTGATTTGAAGTTCACTTCGGTCCATCACCCTTGAACGAATGGGTGCGCCGAATCGGCTAATAAACTCATCCTAAACTTATTGAGAAAAAAGTTTGAAGGAACCAAGCAATGTTTGGCGGATCTGCTAACATCAGTGCTTTGGGGAATTCGGACAAAATATTCAACAACAACCAAACAAACTCCATTTATGCTCACTCATGCGATGGAAGCAGTGTTACCAGTCGAGTATGACCATCATAGCCAAAGGGTTGTCATGGCCTCTTCGTTCCCTGAGGAGGATATGGCCTAATGACAACAAGCTAACATTGAGGGGGCAATGCTAGCCCTCAACCTGACGGAGAAGAAACAAACCAATCGACACATCAACAAGAGGAAGTCAGGAGGCAAACTACTTGCTATTTCAACACGCATGTCCGAGAGAAAACCTTCACTCCGGGAGACTTGGTTCTTAAGAAATTCGATCTGGCCGCTAGTGGATAGACAATCGGCAAGTTGGACAAGACTTGGAGCAACTCATACATAATGAGCCAACAAGTCTCACCGAGTGCTTACAAACTGCAGACATGACAGGAGAGAGTTCCTTCGAACTTGGAGCGGAGACGACTTAAAGAATTTTTTTCTTTAAATGACTTCCTTATGTGTATGTAAAAGGGAGTTTTGCTGCCAATGTGTAAATTCAATTAAAGAAATAAAAATTATAGTTTAACTATATCTGCACAAATAATGCCCAGATCTCTCCTATACTTTGGGAACTTGACCTGCAGCAGTAAACTTAATACTTGGGACGTGTGCCTCAGTCGAATGATCTCGTGACGATCGTCTTTTAATATAATCGAAATCGAATAGACTAAACCAAAACAGCAAGAAA